AGGTCAGCAGCCACACTATCTGGGTTGTCCGGGATATCCAAATCTTTCTGGTATAGTTCCTCTGTGTATTCTTGCCACCTCTTCTTGATGTCTTCTGCTTCTGTTAGGTCCCTCTCATTTTTGTCCTTTATCATGTCCATCTTTGCACAAAAGGTTCCTCTAATATCTCCAATTTTCCTGAACAGATATCTGCTTCTTCCTTTTCTATTTAAGAAGGCCCTCTTGTCTCTCCTTGCTATTCTTTGGAAGTCTGCATTCAATTTTCTGTAACTTTCCCTATCTCCCTTGCATTTTGTTTCCCTTCTCCTCTCTGCTATTTCTAAGGCAGAGCCACAATCAGCTCCAGGTCTCGTTTTGCTAAATGTATAGAGCTTCTTCATCTTTGGCTGCAGAGAATATAAGAACTAGTTATGTTACTCTCAATAATTAGTTGTGCAAGTTACTTTTGCAGTGTAATGAGGGCACTCTTACTTGAAGACACTTACTTCAGAACTCTCTAGGCAGTTGAGTTCCTTCAGTGCAAAATAAAATTTCCAGGTTTTTAAAGGATTTTAAAATTATTTGTTTAGGTTTTATGCCATTCTCTGGTGGATCCTACATGGGAAAGAACCTATACGTTGGCTTTGGCATCTAATTCTTTAAAAAAAAGTTGGCCATTGAAGGAAACCGAGGTCGTCCCTTTTATTTTTCTGGCCTGTTGGCAACTTTATTTTAATGAACTAGTAAGGCGCAACACCACTTGAGGACGAGTGAGGAGGAATAAGGCCAACCTGGCTGCTAGAAGTAATGAGTAACCCAACAAATTTCAAAATGTAAAGATCCAAGCTCTGCTCTCTTGTGTGTTTGGGACTGAGCTTCGGAGACCCATTTCTCCATGAGCCGAAACCAGAAAGACCCAGTTTTCAAACGCCTCCTTAGTCAAGAAACTGAAGGAATGACTTGGATCACTCCTTCCTTTAACGTAACCTTGCTAGCCGGTTGTGTCGATAAAGAGGGCTGCGGTGGGGGGGGGGAGGACGAAGGAAAGATAAGCTATAGTTTCTACGGTGCCCATTCGGTCCACCACACGCACCGGCTCGCTTGCTACAGCATCCCCAATCTTCCTCCTGGTTAACGTCGCCGAGCTCTTCTTGGAGAAAGGGGCAGATACTTTATCAAGATTAACCAATCGCCTTTCCAAATAAGGAACCTAGCCAATCCTGGAGCGAATTGTCCAATAGGAGTCAGAAGAAAAAAGTGAACGAAAGGAACTCCAGCGAATAGGAAAGACTCGAGGTTTGCAGCCCTGCCGTTCCGCGTAGGGCCCTTATTGGGTGGTTGGGGGAAGGAGGGGAAGATGGCGGCGTGAGAGGAAGAAGTGGAGCGGTAGCCGCGGGCTGCGGCCCGGGGGCCTTAGCTGAGGTAAAAGACCGTAAGGTCAAGAGCTACTAAGGAAAAATGCGGGAGTACGACGGTCTGTGGACAGAAAACGGAGGCTGATCAGGCCCGGTTATGGAGCGGTTCTCTCTGTGTGTCTTGGGTTCCTGCTTTCCTATTGAGTCAAGTTGGGGTGCTGGAAGCGTCAAGGTTTCAAATCCTGGCTTTGGACTTGTGAAGTACAGCCTTGCATTTCCCCCCCCCCTTTTTTTTTAATGGTGCTCGGAGGACCTTCTTTTACCTCAGCGTTCGGGCTCGCAAACTTTCAGGAGGCTTGGCCTAGAGCGGCGTCGTTTGTTGGCCTTGGGAGGCTCGTGGAACACCTTGAGACCGGCGCCAGGACGATGCCTTTCGGGGTGTGTGTGTGTGTTTGTTTGTTTGTGTCTCCGCCAGGAAGGGAGGAGCTCATGCGGGAGGGTCTCCACCAGGCGGCGGGGCGGCTACGGAGCGTCCCCGCAGCCTCTCCAGTCCCGGAATTAGAAAGGCCGGCGCGGGGAGCTGGAAGGTCCGGGGCGGGATTGCTGTTCGGGTCGCTGGGTTGTCGAGGGCTCGGGAAGCCGCGGTGCTCCTCTTTGACCGCCGGAGGAACCGTTGACGACACCATTGCAGCTGCTTTGGCGCTGCCGGAGGGAACGGATTGGCGGTATTCCGATGCATGAAGCCGCCGTCGGTGGAGCCGAGATTTGGGGGAACGGCTTGCAAGGCTTTCCCCGGTTCCCTGGCTGGCCTCCGTGCTTCTGCTGCCATCCGTGTGCGACAAAGCTCATCTCTTCTGTTGCACAGGCGTGCTCGGGTTCTCGCGGGTCTGATCTGTTGCCGTTCTTGCTTACAGCGAAATATCCTAGCTTTCCCCCGCCTTTTAAAATTTTTCCAAGGGTAGCTACGTAAAGGCTCGCAGACTTTACGAACCAACTAGGGATTTGTTTTACTCCAGACATTGTGGATGGCGGCTACGGGATTTTCCATCTCCCACTTTACCACAAGTATCTGTCCAGCTTTCGCTGCTGCGCAGGGAAAAGTTACATGGCACTTCCTTTCTTCGACTTAACCTGCTGGCCTTTCTGGCATTTTCTTTTTGATGTTTAGCATTTGGCGATTCTGGAAATTAAATTTGAGATGTTTAGGGGATTAGGAGGCCTCCTGTTACCCTGTCAGTACACTCTTTTTTTCATAATTTTATGTTCTACCCCCCCCTTTACATTTTCACATTTATTTACCCTTTTTTCAAGCTTTTTCCTTTAATTTTAGACCAAAAGAAGGGATAGGTAAAAGAATATACAGTATATGGAAAATATGATCATAGGTGAGGTATATACATTAATGTAAGTTGACTGTATGTCAAAAATGTTTTTATGTGTAGCTGAAATAGTAAGATCTTCTAACCCTTGAATGATAGATGATGTATCTCCAGCCTTGGAATGTCAAGTGTTCTGGTGATGGTAAGAGCTGATAATTTCCAACTGCATGGACCACTTGTTTTGGAAACATGATTTAAAAGTATACACATATCTACAAATATAAATTTTCTAATATGGAATTAGTTTTCTGTAATATATGCAACAAAAAAAGGAGCTGCCATGGATGTATGCCCATTGTATGCCTCAGAGAAGCACTATTTGTGTTGCATTACCAGCATTTAGTTGAATAGCAATTTCTTTCTAAATAAAGAAATGTGGGGGGAAATGTTGAAATGCCAAGTGTAAAGAAACTGATATTTAATATATGCTACTTAGGAACTTCAGCAGATGGCTGAAAAAAAGCATTTTGAATACAGTATATGAATTCATATGCGGTATATGGATCACTGAATATTTAGAGCAGTTGCATCTGTTGAAATAGATGTTGCTGAAATAAAATTTAAAATTACATATGTACTTTGGCCGTGTTCTGAACGTTGTTCTTCCTAACATTTCGCCAGTCTCTGTGGCCGGCTTCTCTGTCGCCAGCTTCTTCAGAGGACAGCACTCCTCTGAAGATGCCGGCCACAGAAACTGGTGAAACGTTAGGAAGAACAACCTTCAGAACACAGCCAAAGAGCCAGAAAAACCCACAACAACCATTAAATTACATGCAGTACTTTGATTTTGTTTATTTAGCTGCTGAAGTGGTTCTGAATAGGAAAGAAACAGATGTGGAGGAAGATAAAATACTTGTTCAAAGTTTCTGTGGTCTGCAATTTTTGGCTGGCCTTATTGGTTTCTGTACTTTTGGACACTAGTCTCTGTTTCCATTGAGCAATCTCTTGACCTTTCCTGAGGGAAGAAGTGCACTGGTTTGGCAGCACTGTTTGGAAATACAGTTAGTGCCATCAAATAGTAGAAGCTCCCACAAAATGCCCTTCCCAAAGCATTGGCTATCAGCAAGTGCAGCTGCTTTGCTGTTTGCTCAAGGCTCCCTGAATATCTTTAAGACATGATGTTTTAAAATGCCTTCCTTTCTAGAAGGAAGGGGCCAGTTCAATGGCACTATGAGAACATGTTCTGAAATACATCCAAGCAGTGGCACCCAGCTCTTTATTCCTTACCTGTCCCAAAGGTCCAGCAGGAATAATGGCTTATTTGAATTATTGTTGTTTCCAGTATAGCTCTTTCTCATGTGTGTTTACTGCTTCCTAACTGTAGCCTGTCCTCAACACGTTTCAAGGTTAAAAGCTGTTTTTGAGGCAGCTTGTATATTCCTTCCCTGTGTGTTGCTGTTCTGGTTTGTCCAGTGGGGCATCAGAATTGCTGCCTAAATTCATTTAGCACTCTGGACTTAAGTTATGTTCTGTCAAGTCAGAACCTGCTTAGAGCAACCGTGATAGTACTTTCAAGGTAAGTGACATATTTGAGAAGTAGTTTTACCAGTTTCACACCCCTATTGAGTTTCTGCACTTGAGCAGAGATTCAAACCCAAGCCTTCTGTGCCCTAGTCCAGTGGTGGTGAACCTTTTTGGGCTTGCATGCCCAAACTGGGGAAAAAAAACAGCAGGCAGCGTGCCGCGGCGGAACCAGAGTGGCAGCAGAAGGGGGAATCCCGGCACAGAGGTGCCTCGAGACCCCACTCTGGATCTGCTACCAGCACAAGCTGCTCTGGATCCGCCTGCTGAACCACCTGAAAAGCCTGTCTAGTTTACGATTCTGTTCACACAATAACCATCTGGTTGCTCATAGGATACCACCAGAAGGAAATGAGTGCAGCTACACAATGTGTCTCATGTTGTAGACATCTGTACATGGAAGCATATTTTCTCTGATAGTGGGCATGATAACAGAGGCATCTTGATTGGTAGTCATCAACCATCCTAACTACTATGAATTAATTTACTCCTAATTTAAAATTGCCTAGTGTGGCTGCCATTGCCACAGTCTGGTAGAGAATGCCTTGTTAGAAGTGTGTTGTTAGTTGTGTGTCATTAAGTTAGAACCAACTTAAAGTGATCTTAATAGGACTTTCAAGGTAAAAGTGAGTTCTTTAAGGAGTAGTTTTATCAGTTCTGCTCCCTCAGTGAATTATCATGGTCATGTGGGGATTTGAACCCTCTGGAAAGTTACAAGAGAGGCATGAACTTGCTTCCTGAAGTAAAACTGCCCCAATACCAAATGAGGTATCTGTTTGAAAATCTGGAGCCATTAAGACAGGTGCTTCAGCTAACTTAAATTTCAGGGTATCAAAGACTTTTTGACACTCTGGGGAATAAACAACTTTAATAGGCATTCTCTTTCTGGTTAATTCAGTATGTGGAGTAGCAATATTGCTGAAATTTGGTATGAAGTCTTGATAATAAGACACAAGACCCCCAAAAAGATTGAACTTTTTCTTATTTTCAGGAATAGGCCATTCTTAAACACTTTTAATTTTAACATGCAGGGGCTGTTTTTCCACTTCCCACTAGATAGCCCGAGTAGGTAACTTTTCCCTTTACCTACTGACATTTTTGAAGCTTTAATAGTCAAACGATTGGTACCATTGAATAAGTTCTAGAAGTCTCTCTTGTTGAGTTTCAGTAACCTCTGAATTAAAATACACTTCTTCTCAGTCACCAATATTCTGAAATTCTGACAACACATCAACAATCCCATCTTCCTCTCATTGACTGCATTGTATTTCAGTACTACAGTAGATCTTTCAATGTAGTGCTTAAGGCTGTTAGCATGATAAACTTGAGTCTTCCTTTCTCTGCTAGATATTTGGACCACAAATTAACATTCCCCATTCACTGAATTACTGTTCCTGGTCCTTGCCGGTTAATCTGAAGTTTACCAATTTTCAGGGGGTTCAAAACCAATACAAGGTCCCCAACATCGAACTCTTTGTGCCTGACTTTAGCATCATGATAGAACTTTTGTTGCTTTTGAGCAGATTCAATGTTTTCTTTAGCAGTACTTTGAATCTATATAAGTCTCTTTTGAAGTTCATAGACATACTGTGCCACTGGCAAAGAAGAATTTTGAATTATACCAATTTTCATGTAATACATCATTTCCCAAAAAAAGCATGGGGCTTCACAAGAGTCATGAACCAGAATAAGTCTCTCTCCTTTCCAATCTTCAAAATGCAGTCTCATTCTAGCCAGAGGAGCATATTGAGTTTTCCCTATTTTTGACCGTCTTATGATTGAATGGGAAACTTAACCCCATTTATTATCTGACTCTCATCAATCAAATATTTGGAAATCAAAGAAAGGCCCATCCCTGTATCCTCGTGCACTGTCAAATGAATCTTCTGATTCCCTTTTATAAGAGTCACAGACTTAATGGTTGTTATGGGCTGCCCACGTGGCCTACTGTGGAGATATAATGACTTCTGGATTTAAAACTTTAAAATTCCATGGCTATTTCCACAGCTTGGCTGCTGCTGCTCCAAAAAGCAGTCCACTCTTCCTTTGGCTGGTTATAAATTTGAGAAACAGATAAGAGTGGTGCCTCACTTGACAAGGATAATCCGTTCCAGCAAAATCGCTGTAGAACGAAATCCTCGTCAAGCGAAATGAAAAAGCCCATTGAAATGCATTGAAAACCGGTTCAATGCGTTCCAATGAGCAAAAATACCTCCAGTGAAGATCCTCCATAGGGCGGCCATTTTCCGGTGCCTGTCTTGGGAAAAAGCCTTCTTAAACATAGTGGGGAGCCATTTTAAAACCCGACAATCAGCTGTTTTCTGATAGTCGTAAAGCGAAAAATCGGTTCCCGAAGCAAGGAACCAATCATGATTAAGCAAATTGTCCCTATCTAAACATTGTTTTGCGGTCGCAAAAGCGATCACAGAAAACACATAGTTAAGCGATTTCCTCGTGTAAGGAGGTAATCCTCAAGCGGGGCACCACTATACAGTGGCTATCACTCCCTGGCCCCTCCTGGCTCTGACTGCTGCTTCTCTGTTAACTCCTTGTATACCTATTGTCTGTGCATCTGATGCTGGGTAGTAGAATTCCTCTCCTGACAAACTGCCCTCTGTAAGGAAATCCTGTTCCAGCAGGGCATCCTCCTCTCCGCTGACCTGTCCTGTCGTGGCTTTTGGGACTTGACTTATAACTTTGATCTTTGCCCGAAGTTGGGAAGCAGCTGGTTTAACAGGCTTATTTTTTTCTCCAGTTAAACGTGGGCAAAATCTCTTCGTATGCACTTTTCCCCCACACAAAAACAGACAAAAGGGGTACTAGCAGCCACAGGTTTAGTAGTTCCTGGCACAGCAGAAAGAGGCTTCTGGGGAGATTTATGACATTTCAGCTTCTTGGGGCTTCCCTCTGTCTATTCTCTGAAGCTCCCCCCCGGCTTAACTATGCCAGTGCCTTTAACTCCTCCATGTCCTTGCCTCTCTCTCTCTGTGCTTGTAAACCCAAAGCTGATCAGCGGCTAGGGCCAAGTCTTGACACCTTGTACCTATTCTCGAAGGCTTTGTTGTGGGTTTTCCAGGTTGTTTGGCCGTGTTCTTAAGGTTTTTCTTCCTAATGTTTCACCAGTCTCTGGGAGGACAGGAGTCAGAATTCTGTACTCTGGTGCATACATTTCTAAACTACTTGGACATGTGTGCTAACACTGAACAATTCATTGATTAGGAAGTGATAGATTTTTGTATTCACAGTGTTCTATAGGGTAAACATAAAGTTAAAGAAAGAGATAATTGTTAATGTGACTTAAATGGCTGAATTATAGGTGCTTGCTCCATTATTTGGAAAACACTAATATCTAGTCTTCATATAGACATGAGAAGGAGAAATACCTTTTAAAAGATAGTTTAAACTTTTTTGTTTTCCTGCTCCAGGTCCATGCGTGCACCAAGTAGTTGGGCAGTCAAACTGGGCAGCTGGATTACTGAGGATTGAAAAGCATGAATTCTTGGTTATGAAATTTGTGTAGCCACTTAACAAAAGGTAAGCCTTTTTTGCTTATAGACTTGTTTGGCCTTCTCGTTATATGAAAGCAGTTTATTTACTGACATCCTAGAAATGGAGTTTATTCTATGCTTTATTCTAGTAAGAGGATGTTGAGGAAATGATAGGTCTATCATATGGAGAAGAAAATGGAATTACCTAGAGATGGGTGGTGGGAGTGTTCATCTCTTGCATTGCCTTAGTTTTCCCCATAAAGGAAACTGATTGACCAGTCTGCAGTAGCTCAGGTTAGGAAAGGATGTTGTTGCAGCCCATAATAGGTAAACAGTAGGCTTGTCTGAATGAATTGGTATCTTCAGGAATAAACAGTTAATTTCATAGAGTACTGCACAAATATGCAGATGTTATCTAAAAACATATCTGAACATTTCTGGAGAACTGATGAAATTGTACAAGTTTAGAGATGTGGCAAGTGTTTTTCCTGTCTTTAGAAAGCAAGGGAAAGAGTATCAAGAGATCAGTTTGATGTCAGTACCTGGACAGGTTCTAAAATAAATTCTAAACAATCTGTGAGCAATTAGGAAACAATATTAATACGAAAGGCCGACATAGGTTTTTCACAAGAACAAATTGTGTCAGACTAAACTTGATTTTTTAAAATATTTATTAATATACAGATGATAGGAATGTTGAACCTTTTTGCAGTGTCTTGATTTTACCAAGGCTTCTGAGAAGCGGATACTGGTTTGAAAGTGCTCCTTCATGGAGCTGGTTGACATGTTGAAAGAGTAATCATTAACAATTCTTCATCCTTCCAGAAAAAAGTGACAACTAGAATGCCTTATGATTTTCTCCTTGGCCCAGTATTGTTCAACATCGTAATGAGTTAGTTGAATAAAGCAGTAGAGGATTTGCTTGTAAAATTTGTATGTAACACAAAACTGGAAGTGATACCTCATACTGTAGAATAGCAGTGGGCAAGCTTTGTATTCAAATAATCTACGTTTTTATTAGAAAATTGAGATCCACTAACTGGCTAGAAAAAAAACAAAGTTATGTTGGCCCAAAACAAATTCCAAGATTCATGTAGAGATGATACCTCTGTTGAGCCAAGTCAAAGGTTACAAAATTGTGCATAAAATGCTACAAGCTTTTGAGAATACAATGTCTTAATCAGGCAGGATGTTAAAAACTAAACAGAATGGGGGAGAGGGAAATGTTGGATCATAAGTCCTTGTTGACCATGTGTTCCTTTTATGAAATAATGCAGAAGAAATGGGGCCAACAAATAAATAACAAATAACAAATATCTCATCAAATGATAAGTAACGTTAGATTTATCCTATATTAACCCACTGGGAGCTAGAAAGTTAAAGACACTTTTTGAATTGACAGAATATGGATCACTGTTTATATTGATAGTACAGTATCTGGATGTTTTGATTCACTGAGATAAACAAGTAGATATTCACATGCTCACCTGGCAGACACAATTGCTAATAAAACGGAACTGGCCTGTACTGCAGAAAACATTGATAAGCTAGTTTGAAAACAAGACTACTACTTTTGCCACTGAAGTGAAGGTATAATATTTTTCTATGGTCTTTACTCTAGAAGAGAAATATGCTTTTTCTATGGGTTCTGCCAGGATGGAAACCCTGTTGAATTACTATGTGCTTTGCTGGTCTTCTGGAGCCAGTAACTATTTCCCTTGATTTTGCGAAACTGGTAAAACTAGCTATTTCCCTGAAGTAACCTCTGACTGGAATGCAGTACGTTGTCATTTAAACCTCAATTTTATGATCACATTTCCAGGGTTACATTTCTAATACCCATCTTAATAATTTTAGCTTTTAATTTATACAAAATAGCAATATTTGACAAAATTACAGTACTCAAGAGCCTATTACTAGATCCAAATCTGCCTTTTTCTACATTTCTTCCTTACAGAACGTATGTGATGATCTTGAGATGATGGGAAACTGGACAAAAACTTAAACATTGAAATTCAACAGATGTGAGTGAGTAAGATTTGGGGTTTCAGAAGATCCAAGCTAAATGAGAGTCAACAATATAATGATTCAATATTACGTGATAGCTAAGATAGCTAATGGAATTGTCAGTTGCATCAAAAAGGATAGCTTCTATTTATTTATTTATTTATTTATTTATTTATTTATTTATTTATTTATTTATTTGACTTTATACCGCCCCATAGCGCTACAAGCACTCTCCAGGCGGTTTACACATTAATTATACAGGCTACACATTCTAGTTTATTTAATTTTACAGTCTGTTCTGTGTTGTAAAATATATATCACCCAGAACTGTATTACTGTAGTTCTAGTCACTGATGTTTAAAAATTATATTGACTGGACCTTGGAACATTATTTTCCTGAAGTAATTACTGTTACTTTTTGAGGGCATGGCAACCCATTTCATTGTGTTACTCATTCAGTTCTCCTCCCCCAATAGCCTGTTCTGTTCTTGTTGTTCACGGAGTGGGGGGAGGGTATAGCCTCTTGTCAAAAGGTTTTATAACTCCTTTGCTTACCATTATGAAACAAAGTGTTCATATAGAGAGTTAACATTCTACATTGCAGGACCCTAGTTCTTCTTGCTTGTTGCCATTCATTCATGAGGAGAGCAAAGTGATGTAACACAGTTTGTTTCAGCCAGTATATTAGCAACAACACTTTATGGTGCACCAATGAACTGCCACCTTGCATTACTGTCCTAGTGGAAAATAGTAAACCAGAATGCTATGTTTAGAAAGGTTTAAAAAGAAATTATGATCAAAATCATCCAACGCTCTAGTATAAAAAAGAGAAGTAAAGTAGGCATAAAAGACTCTTACTAAGAAGGCAACATTCTCCGCCTAGTCCTAAATAATAAAGCCCTCTAAAAAGAGTTCATTGCTACCCTGTAAAAAGAGCAGCTGCATGACTGTTGTAATCCTTTGCAAAAGTAATTGAGCTATAATCTCATTTGTTTTAAAGAAGTAGTTACATACAGGCAACAGTGTTATTTACATGTATTCAGTTGCTTCTAAGCTCTAATATTAACAAAGTGGAATACAGTCGTGCCCCGCTTAATGATTACCCCGTATAACGACGAATCCGCTTCACAAAAATGTTTTTCAATCGCAATTACGATCACAAAATGATGTTTTAATGGGCTTTTTTTGTTCCCGATGATCGGTTCCCTGCTTTGGGAACCGATTCTTCACATTATGAGGGTCAAAACAGCTGATCGTCGGGTTTTCAAAATGGCCACCGGCTGCTCAAAATGGCTCCCCGCTGTTTTTAGGAGGCACTTTTCACAAGACAGGCACCCGAAAATGGCCACCGTATGGAGGATTTTCGATGGACGATTAGGTATTTTGCCCATTGGAACGCATTAACCAGTTTTTAATGCGTTTCAATGTTTTTTTTTTATTTCGTTTGACGACGTTTTCACTCTACAGCGATTTCGCTGGAACGAATTAATGCCGTCAAGCGAGGCACCACTGTATGTATATGCAGAGGGGCTTGGATGCCATATTTTGTGAGGAGAGAATGAGCATGTTTAGGCTAGAGAAAATGTAAATCTCTTTATGATAACTCAGATATTTGAAATGCTATGTAGATGATTGAGCTAATTTGTTTTTCTGTGGCAGAAAAAGGTATCTAAATAAGTGAAATCAAATTACTGTACAAGAAAAATGATTTAGGCTAACTTTAGGGACAGCTTAACAATGGTAGGAACTCCTTGACAGTACAGTTTGCCTGCCTTCATTTAATAGAGGTTTTTAAGCAAGGCTGAATAACCACCTGTCAGGGATGTTATAGTAGATTTCTTGCACTCCTGGTGTTGGACTGAGTGATGTCTGAGGTTCCTTACAACTCTGCCCATATATGAAATATGAAGAAGGTTAGCAGAAATTTCCAAATAAGAAAGGAGGTGAGAAAGCATGATAAAAGAAGAAAGTTGATATTGTGGATAGTGCATGAAAAACCCCAAAATCTGTACCAGGCCTATTTCCTGAAAATGAATTAGATAATTTCTGTTTTCTGAGTATAGGTTTTCATGCTAAATGCATCCACGTTGATGGGAATCAAGAGTAAGTAGGACCATGGCCATGACTGACACACTGCTTTTAGAGTAAACATGAAAACGGCCAATTATTGACATGATTTTGGAACATTTGTGTAGAGCTGTTTCCATAAAAATGCGAAAGAGCCTGTGTACTCATGAAATGTGTGTGTGTAGTATTGTGAAAGTTATTTCAATTATGTTAATTATGTGTGTTTCCAGATCCTTTCCTGTTGATTCATCAAAGACTGGTTGTGAAGCCTGGCCTATTTACAAATTCACTTGTGGTGAAGAAAACGCCGTCCTTTATCTCCATAAGGGAAAATGAAGAAACATTGTTCTTTTTCTGTTTCAACTTTTTTAACATAAAATTCAAAATATGAACCATGTAATAGACAGTATATATAATATATATACTGTATACACAGTATATATATTATTGCCCTTGCAGAGCAGCCATCCAAATGAATGGTTGACATTTCAAAGAGACAGCATCCACTAATGCCTACTCTTTGATCAGTGTTTTTGCACTCTAGAAAGGACTGTTCATATAGATACAGACAAAATGCCTGTTCCAATTGACAACTTGCTCCCTTCAGAATATCCTAGTTAAGTATTTGCCTGCTCCCTACATAACATTTGGAATGCTTTGATTAGATATCGAAAACCTTTTTGTATAAAAGATCCAGGTAGAAAAGTCTAAATATATTTGTATTCTAAAGTGAATAATAACTTTCAAAAGGAAATGAAAAGAACTTGGAAAATTCCTCAGTGAACATTTTTCTTCTGTAGAGGGTCACTATATAGATAAGCATCTTGATGACTGAGTAAAGCAGCTGATGCACAGCAGCTGATAGTTATTTGTTTTATAAACTAATTTTCAAAACTGAAACAAATGATCCAAACAGTCTGCTCATATAAGCCTGCATAAATGCTGGAAAGGGAGATGTTACTGTGCGTCACTGTTCTTGTAAGTCCCTATCCAAGCCTTCAAAATTTAAACGTATAAAAGCAGTCCCAGAGATACTTAAGGTTATATGGTATACCCCCAATGTTCCCTAGGGAATTTGACTGCAAAAGGAACAATATCTTTGCACAAGTCATGCACTTACCCAAAGGGAACAGTGGATATAAAGACTTATGTAAAACTTTCCATCAGAGGATCAGAAGAGTAGACATGCTCGGGAAGGGCTTCATCACTAGTTCTCTAGTGCGTCATCCACATTTAAGGTGGACATCATGATTTCTACGTGTTTACAGAACAGTCTTGTCTCTCTTATTTGTGATTTGTACAGGACCCACCCACCCCCGCCATTAATAGTTGATCTTTAGCCACACTTCACCAGGGTATGTAGCTTCCTGGTTTGGTTTTTAAGTAACACATTTTCGTGTCAGACCCCGGAGCCCTTTGTAATGCACCTTACATCAGTCTCACTAAATGTGAATTTACGTTTGCCACTGTTTTGTTAAAATTGCCTGTCTGGATTTAAAATAGGAGTACATATAATAGACAGTTGCAGCTAACAAAATCTTTGAATGCTATTTGATGGTTTGAGTTAGTTAGTGAAAGCAATAACACCATATTGCAAAGGAAAGATGAACAAAAGTAGTGACTGATTAATTGGAATGCCTATTTCCTCCTTTGAAAATCACTAAAATAGTTTTAATAGGAACAGCATACTAATTGAAACACTTCTACTTTGCCATTACTTATTTTATTTCTATATGATAAAAAAGATGCATGGATATATTTATGAAATTTTATTCAGTTGTTTTCCTTGATGGAAAATTAAATTTTGTTGGGGAAACTCAGAATGTTTCATAGTACACTGCTAAAAGATGTAGCCGCTGAACAGAAGATCTCTGAGTGGTTAATCTGAATATTTGCTACCTTGACCTTTAGTCTTTGACGTACAATCTCAAGTCAAAGAGAAATCCCACATTTAACTCAATTGCACATATTTTAGGATATTTGCAACAGGAATGTGTATTGAGATGTTTCAGCGTTTAGATGTAGGGCCAGATTTCTTAATTAAAATATAAACTGTTCTCTACAGATCTGAATTTAAAATCCATCTAGCATGGTAATGATTTAACTATCTTACGGGTTTATTTCTTAGTTACCTAGACGTCACAAACATTGTTTGTAAAATAACATGATGGCATAGACTAGAAATGTTTTCTCCGGTTGTCTCAGTAGGTATGAGCAAGAGTGGCCAGACTACCCCCTAAAATTCCAGCAAAGAAGTTGATCTGTCTACCCTCTTTTCCTTTAAAACTATTCTCATTACCCCACTTATGTACAATATGACTGTGCTAGTAGTTAGTTTAAAGTCATGGAGAAACGAGTCTGCTGTACATGCCCAGGAAATCTATTGCAGTTCCTGTCCTGTAGCATATTTTTAATAGTATTGTGTAAAGGCAACACTGCCTTAGTATTTGATTTTACATATTGAACTTTCCATATTGGCAGGAAATCTTTCCACTGTGAAAGGTTAAAACAAATAAGGGGCACGTGCAATAGTATAATATATACATATAAATATATTTTAATACTTGTGGACAAAATGTTACAAGTTGTTTGAGAACAACAAAATCACCAATGTCTTCCATTCTGAGATGTGTATAGTTCCATAAGCATTAGTGCTTTGTAGCAAAACTGTAGTGCCATGTTAGGATCAGTGCATGAGCCTAGTAGTACTTTTTTTTTACAATTTCAGAGTGATGAATAAACAATGCTGGGAGTGTAACTCATATACTGACAAGAGTATAGTCATGACTTAAAAGATGCAGTGTCCTTCCTAGTCAGTGGTGGCAGAAATGTTGTGTCAACAGTATGACTTAGGAATTGCTTTTAGATGCAGTGTCCATAAAGCCATTTATGGTGCACCTCAAATTGTAGGGGGAACCCAAACAGTAGGAACATGTGCTTCACTAAGCTCTTTTACTCTGAGCAAATAATATTTGCAATAATTGGAAAAATAACTGGTTTCTGGGTTTTTTTAGATGATCACATGATGACTCTCCTGCTGTCTGCCCATTCAGGAGGTCCTTTCTTTGAATTATTTACTCACTGATTGCATATATATTCTGTGTTTGTGTTAAAGCATCTGTAGTTCTTGAACAAGAAGAGTATCTTTCAAAATTGGCAAAATTAAAAGTTACAATTACAGATACTAATGGTACCATTAATAATAATATTCATTATTCATAGTACATGGTTTTAAGTTTCTCCTTACATGTTTGGGGAAAGCACTTCTAGAAGTTTCTTGATAATTCTAGATATTGGATCATGTTTAATTTTTGTACTCTAAATGCCTTTACTTTTGTTCTGCAGTTACTTACATTCCTAGAATGTTTCCGTTATTTCTTTTCTGGGAATACTCTTCTAAGAAATTGTCATCTATTTGTTTTAGCTACAGGCAAGTCAGTTGGGTCTGTTTTAAGTCAAGCATTTTGTTTTTGTAGCTCTGCTTTGATTCTTTGTCCATGTAAACAAAGTCCTCTGCTTGCCTTATAAAGGATACTGCATCTTTTTTTGGGACTTGTCTGTAAATGGTTACCTTGGTGAAGAAAGAACTGTTTCTGGCTTTGAGTTAGTTATCAGCAAGAAATCATAGGAAATATGTAACTGCAGAGCAAGAGATTTTGCAATATTAGGTCTTTTATGTTTAAAAATTCTCTGCCGTTCTCTTGTGTAAATCGGGATAGTGGGTTCTTTATAGATGACCTGAGTTCAGTCAGGGTTCTTCTATGAACAAATGTACCTATACTATAGAATGATGTAGTTTTAGTGCTTGGGAGAATCAGTTGATGGAAAAATACCTCTGAAACTGGAATGCAAAATAGCACAGTATGTAGAGGGAAGTATCCCTGATGCAAATAAAGCCATAAGATGACTTAAATAGAACTTTAGTAGCAATAACTATTTGCATGTGATAGGAACTGACTTGCATTAGCAAGAATTGTACAGTAGAATAAATGGTACTAACCAAATAGGTTTGCGGTGCTCTGTGTTGCAGGGAGTTGCCCAGAAAGATGAGTTTCTTTTTAAAGGTTGAAATTCCTCGCCTCAAAGGATCAGAGCCTGGTGTAAACTTCCAGAATGTAGGTTTTTATAGTTGGGCTGTTAGGAAATAAAACTTGCTGTGCATGAACTAGATGAACACTTATCCTGCTTGCCCATAGGTAGTAGATAGCTGGTATGCATCTGTGAAGAGAAGGGAACTCTTCAAGGCTGTGACCAGGATAGATTCTATCCAGTCACATAATTTTAAGAGATTTGTGCAAATTGTTGCCATTACTTAAAAGGTGTGTCAAATCTGAGGAAATTTTGGCAAAGCATGGACTATACAAACAGAACTGTGGCTGTCTCGTACTTTTTTTCTTTCTTAGGTCTTTTTTGTGGCTTTACTTTTTCTTAGTTTCTCTAAGCTACATTTGGGCTTAGAAGGAGGAGAATAAGATTCTATGCTTGGCAATTTTTTTTTACCCCATCTCTCTATAGAGAGTGCAGCTCATACCTCTTAAATGCCACTTGCACTAACCTTGTATGCATGTGCATACTGAAGACCAAGGAAACTGTAAGTCTAATACATAATTCTGCCTTAAGCAGTATTCAGCTGAACTATGTAGACTAGATTCATCTGTAAGATTGGGATGTATACTTGAAGTAGATGGCTTATTTCTGTTTTAATGTGTCCCTTACCTGACCTGTAGTTTGGTTAACACAGTTGTATGTTATGGATGGGGATAGTGCTTGTTTTAAAAATTAGAATGCACACCTTCTGTGCAAAATTCTACATTGTTATAAGGCAATTGGAAAGTAATAGTGTCCAAAACAATGCTTGGAATCTGAATAATATAATCAGCAAAACTTGATGACTAATTTTGCTTTCATGAAATATATATTCTGTAACTAACTTTGTGCCAAGCAAAATTTCCCTGGGCTAGAAGAGTAAAAGTGATTATTTGCACCATGTGGCTGTTCCAGTCTTCTAAATCTTAGAAGCAGCCAGTTTGCTGATATTTTTCATCACAAAACTGGTGGTAGACTGACTTCACATTATTGTGCAGTTTAGTTCATGAACCGAGGCTTGCTTGGTACTTGGATCATGGACATACGTAGATCCCAGAATTGTATGCATAATGAACTGTATGGGCCGTGGTGCTTTTAACAAGGTCTAGTTATGGTCTTTTTTTGTTAGAAGATATTTGTCTATGTAATTCTGCCTCATCAGAGAGAGCATTGTAGTTCTGGCCTGTGGAAGTAAGGGTCTCTAGTCTCCTCTGGCACGTTGTACTTAAGCAGCTTAAACTTGAGCAGTTGTGTCTAAATTCTTGAAGGTCTAGCACTGAAATTTATTTTCATAAGCAGATAATAGGAGAAAAGATTCTTCTCTAAAGTAGCTCTTCATGTTACTTTAATGTGTGTTTCCCCTCTCCTTTTTACTTTTGTAGTAATTTTGTGATAGCCCTTACCCTTTGGTTGGAGAGCTGGGTTTCATTCAAAGCACATTAGTGCTATTCTTCATGAACAGTTGCAGAGGGCTTTTCCTTTTATCTGCCTCTCAATTGCTGTAGTGGTGAAATTCTATCCTATACCATTTTATAATGAAATAGCTGTTATGAGGCATTCTTTTCAGAGTATTAATTTTTTTTTCTCCTTCTCTTTTCTTTGCACTTTGAAGAACAATAAATGTAGGAAAGAAAAAGAATGAAAGCGCTATATTGACAAAGAACAAACAGGTGCCAGTAATCATTTCTCTTGGTCACACTTCAGGTATACAGACAGGTTGTAAATTGTATGTAGATCTTGGACCTTGGAAATAAAAGTTGGAAGACCTAAGCTGAATTGAAGTTTTTCATCATACTGCTGTTATTTACATGGTATAGGATGGAGGTAGGAGACACACATCTCCACACATCTTTCCTCTGTTTTGTATATAGAGAACTTGTGAGTTCACTTTTCCATTCAATGCAGGAAAACAGCCAGTGATGTGGAGGTATTTTGTTCAGTCATAGACAAGTGTAGGAAAAAGACTTTAGAGTATCTGTGTAAAGAACTTTGCATAAAGCTCTCATTTTGATTGGAATTTGGAAAATCAAAAGACTATTTGAGGGTGGGGCAAGAGAAGATACAAGTATATGCTGAGCAAAAAAATTGATTTTATTCTATTTTGGGATTGAGGAGAGATGGTTAGAATGGAAACTCTTGAGTTTGAATACTGTACTTGCTAGATTGTTTTAGGTGGAATCCTCAATTTTTTCAAGTTATAGCACAATAAACATTCCATAGAGCTTAGGATTTCTAAGGACTGGATGCTGTCACAACTTATTCCTCCATGCATAATAGGCATTTATAGAATACCTGGAAGACTGTTGAGGTCTTGAAGCCCTTAGAATGGAAAATCTGCATGGAACAATGATAGTGGCACAAGCACACAGGCTCACAAACTGATTTTTATAGAACTAGTATTCTTATTATGCATGATTAAGATGTCTTAGTGTTATAGTTATTACCAGTATATTGATATATGCATTTATACATTAAGAAGCAATAGGAACTAATTTACCAATAGCTTGAACTTACTGCTTTGATTCTCAGAATTTTCTTTTTAGAGAACATGCTGTCTCTTGAGATAAAGGGGCAGATTATACAAATAAGGAAAGAAGCATGACACCAAAACTGTGTAATGGAAAGAACAATCAGCAGAATGAAACCTTTTGACCTCTTACCTAGATTCATAGTAGTCCTCCTGAGCCTACATGATGGGAATGTGGTTGGTGGCAAAATGGGTTTCTTAGCTGCTGTAGTTGTACAAATAAAAAGGGTGCAGAGTTTCAGAGTGCCGAAAAAGTTGAGTGAAACTCATACAGGGAAACAAGAATGGGCTAACTCATAAAAGATGTTTATTTTTCAGGTTGTAGACAGAAGTAACATTATTGTGGTAAATAACCAGGGAGTGAATAAAATAATTAAGCAGTCCATATTCTTCAGGTATTAAATCATTTTAAGGACAGTTGTATTTTTCAGGTTTCTTTCACCACCTAGGCAGCTATACCAAGGTTACCTGGTTTCAATCCAGCAATAATGGTTTCTTTCAAAATCTGAAAATGGTTTCTGACATGTACTCAAGACAAGTTAAAGCTTGCTAAAAAGGAGAGGAGTTTTGATCTGCTGGAGAACAAATAGCAACATTCTCTCTGTCCCCTGCTTTCCATGTTTTCTTCAATTATAAGAGTGAATGACAGCTTTGAAAATTTGATACATGTACGATTGCTCGTAATCGTAGCAAATACAATAAACGGTACCAATTAGATGATGCTTAAAATATTAGAGACATACAACCTTGTAGCAAAACGTGGATCAGAAAATTATTTTCTTCACATGAAACCCTTAGTTTTAAATTCCTTGGCTAGATTTTGGATTTACACACATAAAAGGAAACATAGTTTCTAAAGGCAACTTTAGCTAATATGAACATTTTCTCTATACCAAACTTTGCTTTCCCCCACATACGAAGTTATCTTTATTCTTCCAGGCATATATGTTGCATGTTTGTTTCAGAGGCCATATTTTTAAAACTGCCATTATCAGTAACAACTAGCTGCCAAAAAATGAATATATTGCTTACAGGCAAAGACTTGCAGTATTGATTTAAGCTTGACTGCACTCCTGATTTCAGCCATTCAGACTAAATAGAATAAACCTCAGTAATTCATGCCTAAATTCTTCCCTCCAAACATTTCTTGTAGGTTGCATGTGTTTGCAGACAGCGACAACCAAAGGGTGGGAATAAGTGTGTGCTATTTAAATCGCCTCTTCCCATAATAAAAAGCAGGCTACTCTGAAGTGTCTGAAAATGTGTGTAGCGGGAACGTACTGAAAAATAAAGGGTAGCGAAGGCTATACCCTGAGAAAACCTACAAACGTCTAAATCATAAAAGTAGTTGTACATTTTGTTATATCACTTGAAAAGGTAGAATGTTATGGTTTAGGCTTTTTAGTCTGTTGTACAAGTTATGTAACAATATGAATATTCAAACCCCTGTATATATCTGATATTTTCCAAAAGGCAGCTTGCTTTTCTATCTATGCATCTTTTGGGAGGGGAAGAGGGTGTTAAATTTATTCTTTTGACACTGTAAACAATATTGTTCAAAAATGAACTTGGAAACTCTGCACCTGTATACAATTTTTTAGCAATAAAGCAGCATGGGCTGAGAATGCACTAAAATGTAATTGTGTGATTTCTTGATTGGAAATGTTATTGTATAGAAATAAAACAAACTGTAGGTATTTCTGTTACTTTTCAGTATGTGAAAAATTGCTTGCTGAAGAAACAAAAAAGATACTAAACAGCTCTGTGCAAATTCAAAAAGCCAGTCAAAGCTTAAAAAATGTGTGCAAGAATCCTCTGGGTGATTCTAGGAAGTCCAAAAAAGTAACTTTTTCCAAGCACTGCCACTGGCCATAATTAGTAAGGGAAGGCTGAAATCTTGATTGTAGTCTTTGTTCATTTTCCTTTTATAATTAAAATTAAAACTAAAAGTGCTTATTCTAGTTCTAAATATTGCTTATTCAGCATCTTCACATTGAATGTCACCTTCTGAAGTACTACCATTTGGGTGTAGTACAAAACCATCCAGTGTATCAGTGACAAGTTAATATTCAAACAGAAGGGAGTTCATAACAGTTTAGTGTTTCTTGAAGATGAGATACGGAAGGGTAGATAAAACTTCAGAAGAAAGACTCTCAGGACTCAAGATAACCTGAGCTGCAAGAGGGAAAAATGTGGAGTTAAAACTCAGATGGTAAGTGAGTGCCCTGTGCTGGACATTTTTAAACAGGTTGGAAGGCTCTCAGGAATGCTCTAGCAGCTTTTCTTGGAGCAGTGGGAGCTTTCCAGCTGTACAATTCTGATTTTATACAGGAGGCAGCTACCTAAATATGGCTCAAGCGGATGAAGGCAAGAGTCTGCTTAGCTACCGCATTTTTCTGTGTATAAGACCCGAAGTATAAGAAAAAAAACCTTTTTCTAACCCCAAACTAGAAAAAGCAGTGATCAAAGGGCTCCCTTTTTGCTAAGCCCCGTGCCTTGGCAAAAGGCAAGGAAAACAGCTGTCAAAGTGACTGCCACTTTTCCTCGCCTTTTGAGAAGGCATGGAGTTTAGCAAAAAGGAAGGGGAGCTGTTGCTCCCTTTTTGCTAACCTCTGTGCCTTCTCAAAAGATGAGGGTCCGCTCCCCTTTTTGCTAAACCCAGCACACCCTCGCCTTTTGAGAAGGCACAGAGGTTAGCAAAAGGAGCAACTGCTCCCCTTTTTGCTAAAGCCCTGTGCCTTCGCAAAAGGCAGTGATAAAGAGCTGCCTTCCATGTATAAAATGGCCCTCATTTTTTCTAATTATTTAAGGAAAAAGTATCATTTTATACACGGAAAAATATGGTAAACTTAGCTGAAAGTAGGAATTGCCCACTTTTCTTGAGTTGCTGTTTTTTTCAAAGGGTTATGGACACTATGATGTATATTAAGAATATAGTAAAAAGGGAGGAGCAATGACTTGTGTGCAGATCTTAGGATTAAACCCAGGCATCTCAAATAGAGCAAAACCTCTGACAAAAGAAAAGGAAAAAAAAAACACTTTAAACCAGTGGTCCCCAACCTTTTTCAAACCACAGACTAGTTGGGGGGGCAGGGGCACCCCTGCACTCTTGAGTGGGCACAGCACGTTTGCAAATTGGCATGGTGTGCTCACAGGGTGTGGTGTGCTCACACATGGCATGCTTGAGGGTGAGTGGGGCACACATGCACCATGCCCACCTATGAATGACCCACTCACCACATATGTGTGCGAACATGCCGCGCTCCCCCATGCGTTCATGGGGGGGCAGGAGATCAGTACCCATGCCCGGTCCTATGAAGCCCATGGACTGGCTGCAGACCAGGGATTGGGGACCCCCGCTTTAAACCACTTAATAAAGTATGCAGCAAGCTTTCTAATGTAAAAAAGACAAGCACTGTAGAGATTTCATGAAGGTTGCCCCACAAGAGCAGAACCTTCTTAAAGTATCTGCCCATCCTTTAGTACAGTAGCACTATTTAAAGCCCATCTGTGATGACATTAATTGGATGTTTCAGACATATTTAAAATTAATCTCATTTTAACTTTACATTTCTGTTTCAAATACACTAAAACCTAATTAGCTAAAAACAAACCTGTAATCTCGGCAAGTAATTATACAAATGGTTGTTGTAGACCACTGAAAGCCCTAAATAAAAATCATACAAATGATAGGATAGTATTACAATCATGTCTGTAATTTTAATATGTAAAAATGATCTATTACAGCTACTTCATATCCAAACAATGAATGTACTTGAGCCTTCTGTAAAAAAAACAGTTTCATCATTCCTAAACCCACATTAAGAAAACAGTTTCATGCCATTCCTAAAATCACATCAACTGCCATTTTCAAATATAGCCAAAGCATTAGCTGTGAGACGACTGCTTCGGATGCTCATATTCTTCACAGCTAAGATGACTGCAGAAATTCAACCAGTTAATTGTTTTGACTTCTTCCTTGTGGATCCAGCTCCGTGACCATGTGGTCTTGGTTTATAGCCCGGATTTTCTACTAAGGCTGTCTGCTGGTTTAAGTCTTCTAGTTTCTTAATTAGCAATTCTATACGCTTGTGAACTAGTACAAGGTTCTCTTTCAACTACAAAACAAAGTTGAAAACCAAGTCTGAATAAACTGAGTGAAGCACAATACCAAAACGATTATATCAGTTAAACTATTAAATCTTATTGGAAACTAGTAAAATGTCAATAGGCTGTGTGAAACTTGCAAAAACAATGTACATTGAACAAAGACTACATGAACAACCATGTAAAAGTTAAGTTATTCTTTCTAAAGTTGAATCTATGTTGCTCATAGACTTCACTATCCTCACTGACTTCCTCACTGAATTTTAGCAACACAGGAATCAAAGGTCACAGACTAACCAAACTGAATTGCTGTAATGTCAGATGTCATGGTTCTCAGAATAAGAGTATCTCTATTGCAACTTGTCAAATAAATATGGACAGATGCAAATTTTTCTCATGAAATACCTATAACTTTATTCACATGAAACCAGGCGCCTCTTTCATTATACAAGAGTAGTGTGAAACTATGATTGAAATAGAAAAGGATAGATGTAACACTAGTGGTACTCAAAATACAGCCCACAACTTTTAATAATCATAATTGAGGCCTTAAATTTGCTTTTAAAGTTTTAAAATCATTTTATGTATTTTAATCATTATTATAATTTAAATGTTTTAATGGGTAATGTATTTTAAATTTTACTTGTTTTAACAGTGTGTGCTGCCTTTAGTTCCCTCATTGGGAGAAAGATAGCCTATAGATGAGACTAAACAAACAAGTTCCTAGAAGCTCTTGCCAACATGGCCAGCAGTCGGGGCTTCTAGGAGCTGAAGTCCAAAATATCAGGAGACCAATGTAAAACACACCCTTCTGTGCTGAGTTGACTGTATACAGCTTTTGGTGTGCCAGTATCACCCCTTCTCATGTTTTAGTTGCATGAATCTAAGATGAAAACCACCAGTATCATCTGAGCAGTATTTCAACATACTGTATTAGCCATACTTGGGAAGATTTAAACATTTTTCCTTACTCTACAATTCTGGGACAAGAGTTTTTTTCCACTTCAATATCTAAGTAGTATGGAACTCATTCCCCTTCATGGATTGCTGCCTTGTCGTGGCGAAGGGGCTTGAGTAACTCAGAGAAGCTATGGACTATGCCGTGCAGGGACACCCAAGACGGACAGGACATAGTGGAGAGTTCCGACTAAATGCAATCCACCTGGAGTAGGACCTGGCAATGCCACTCCAGTATCTTTGCCAAGAACGCCCAATGATCAGAAACAAAATGATAAAAGATATGACGCTGGAAGATGGGCCCCTCAGGTCGGAAGGCGTCCAACATGCTACTGAGGAAGAGCGCAGGACAAGTACAAGTAGCTCCAGACCTAATGAAGTGGTTGG